ATTCCCTCAAGCCTATCCTGAGTTTAGCTATAATTTTCTGTGCTTCCCCTCAATGAGAGATTTCCAAGCTGGCAAATCGCCACATCCTTATACTTGAACACTGCCCCTAATTCTTCCCTTTTCATTTCTCATCAGGTACCTGGAGCTTCCCTAAATAACTACATAAATCACGGTGATAAAATTCTGTGCTCAAAATCCCAGCTGTTCCACTAGACATTTTCACTGTTACAAGCACTGAACAAACATTTACCTGGATCCTTGTCCTGAGTGTGTGGCATGCATTTATCACTTCCATTTGCTTCTTGGGTAGCTGAGCACTGACTGATTCAACATGCAGGTGAGCTGTGCAAACTTGAAGAGTCTTTCTATAAAACCACAAGCCTTACATCTGATAGAAAACTTTCATCTGTATTGAAACAAACACCCAAAACAAAAACTGCTATACAATTTTGATATATCAAATAAAGTTAGAAAGCACAGCATCACAGATTGTAAGAAGCTCAATATGCACTAGAGCAGACACAGAATGAGACATGTTCAGTGACAGAGCAACAGAGGATAGGTGAAAGCTTTGAAAGTAGAAGAGAGGTTTAGAGTGAGAAAACAATCTAGATAGTCCTAAGACTACTGTACTATTCTGAGGTCATAAATTTAGGGTTGAGCATCACTGACTAAGCAGCTGCAGGGGATCTAGGGCTTCTAAGGCCACACTCACATGTGATCCAGCATCTTTCTACCCTGGCTACCTCTATACTCATCTTTCTTCTGAAGGGAAGAAAGATGCTTCTGCTCTGCCCCATCCTTCCTCTCTCCAGCTCTGCCAAGCTCATCTTGTCATTCCCTTTATGATATTTAGAATGTTTTTTTTTTCTTTTCATTTACAATTCTTCTTGTTCCACACTACCAAGGATTTATAAATGCTATGTCTTTTCAAAGAACAGGACATTTGGTTTGACCAGATTTCTTTTCTTTATCTGGTAGAGTTAGTTTATGGAGACAGAGTCTTACTGTGTAGTCCAGGCTGGTTTTGAATTTACTATGTAACTCGGGCTGGTCTCGAACTCATAGCCTGCCTCAGCCTTCTGAGTGCTATGATTATGAGTATGCACCACTGCATCTGGCAGGTTTTCTCTTTTCTAAAGTTTTATTTCACTCAATCTATTTTTACTGAAATTTTCTTGCTGTGATCAAAGTGAGGTCTGTCAAAGATCTGTTGCCAATCCAGTGATTTCTTTTTGAGACAGGATCTTAGTATGTAGTTCAATGATTTCTTTTATCATCACTGCTTGCTCCCTCATTTCTCTGTTGACTCTTTAATAAGAGTATAGCATCCATACTACAAAATGTAGAACTCTAAGGTATACAGCATGATAATCTTCTCACCCTGAACAAAGACACATCCATATAATTACCACCAGGACCAACACATCAACACAGTTGCTCCTGGCTGTTGCGGTACACTGTTTTCAGAGCACTCTGGCAGACTCTCCTGGGACACACTTGCAGCCCTGAATCTGCCTTTGCCTTCAACTCTGAAGACACCCTGATCTGACACCTTGAGGCTCAGTCACTGAAGACCTGCTTAGACCAGTCACTTAGCAGCAATAACCAAACCATAGCATATGTGAAAACTTGTCCTTCCTATCTAAAGAATAAAATAGTCAAAACTCAAATTAAAACTGTCTTAAAATACTAATGCATAACTCACCTGAATCAATCTTTCTGTTTATAATAACCCTGGCCCCTTTCCTAGTGCCTCTCATCTCAACCAAACATGCTTCTGGTCAGCCCTACTTCTTGGCTTCTTTCCTCATAACTTTCCTTGATTCATGAAAACCCTCTCTTCACCACCCCAAAGTTAGACTT